AGTTTAGTATATATTATATACTCTAGTAGAGACACTATTTAGTTATTAACTAATATAGTGACGACACACACACACACACACACACACACACACACACACACACACACACACACACACACACACACACACACACACACACACACACAAAATTCATGCATTTTTCTGGGGTTTGTAATACATGAACCGAGCTTGAATCAAAAGTGAGAAAAGCGGGAGTATATGTAAAAATATCGTTATGCTGGGCAAGTGACGATGCTGAGGGTAATTGAAAGATAACTTGTGTTTGGAAGTCAAGAAAACTTGATGGGTTGCAGGCCGATAAAGCAAGACGGAAAACCACTCTATTGTGTTTCGTTAACAAATCTTATGTTATCTCGAAGAAATAGGAGAAGGTGTATATATTTAATTTTTTTTAAAAAGGTAGATAATTGTTGTAAAATAATCTCAAGATTTTGACTTCGTTTAATTACTCGCTAGATACCGAGAGAGATTTTGTCCACAAGCAACATTCTACTGTTGAAATTCCGGTCGGACGATACCATTAACACTAAAGGATTTTCTGCAGCATACCTAGCCGACAAGGAGGAGCCAGTTGAAAAGAACGAGTTATTGGTCTGAAATTTATTTATTCTGCTATTTTAAAATGATTCATATCCTGGTAGTGTTTCTATTGATTATTTGTGTTTAGTTTACAGTCTCCTACCACTTTATGCATAGGTGTCAGAACAGGGGGATCAGGAACTCCATCTCCAATAGAGTGGCCAGCGCTTATTTCAGCCCCTTTCATAAATTTCGATAGGTTTACAATTTCTCTAACTTAAACTGAGTTTTGATCTAAAAACGATGACTTACTATAAACAGATAAAGGTTATAAAGTAAATTAGGTAGTTGGAAATAAAGAGTAGAAAAGACAATATAAAGAGATAAAGGTGGAAAATAAAAGAGCATACAAGTTAATATTGAAAGGAATTATTTTCATATCAACTCCTATTGTATTTTTCCTCTAACTTGTATAATATTCTCGCCACCACTGCACCAAAATAGGCTCAAATTGCCATTTTAACTTTTCGGGAGAGCATGCCCTTGAGCTTCACCAGTTTCAAACCGCCTAGGCCAGGCGAATATCTGACAAGATCTATTCACTTTCAACTTTGGTCCATCCCAGACGCTTTATGGCCTTAGCGCACAACATGTATGATCTAAATGGTGGCCCGGAATGACCAGATGTTTAGGGCGCTTTAATTGCAATTCCCGTCCTACCAAACATGCTCGCCCTTTCAGCCGTTGGGGGCGTTATAATGTTTCAGTAAATCCCACTATTTGTTGGTAAAAGAGTAGCCCAAGAGTTGGCGGTGGATGGTGATAACTAGTTGCCTTCCCTCTAGTCTTTCACTG